GTCTGAACCACCTCAACAGTATATGCAGTATAAAATATTTATATGTTTGGCACTGGATTAGGTTCACCTGCATATTATCGACTGCCCATTGCAAGAAAAACTTATCCATGTATAATACTTGTATTCCTTCAATAAAGTCTTATTTTGTTGCATTCATTTTTTAAACTTTATTTCATACTCAAGTAATTTTATCTTTCCTTAGCAGATACATGGGAATTTGTAAGGTTTGTTTAATAATTACCATAGTACAGTAATTCCTAAATCTTTTAAATTTCATTGTTTATACTTTTGGCCTCTGTACAATTGCCTAATTCTTGTAGAAAAATCTTAATGATCATATTCATATTAGTCTTTGCATGATATTCATTCTAGTTTATTCTTCTGTTTATATTAATACAGTTATAATTTCTTTGCATATGTCATTTCCCACATTTATTAGAAAAAGATTTAAAAATTTCCCATTGAAATACTATATATATCCATTTATGGAAGTTTCTAACTATTCTTTCTGGTGTACTGTATATACTGTAACAAAGTATATAAGGGTATTTATACTTAAGTATATCCTGTATAAGAATATTAATGTTACAGCATATATCCCTTTCACTTTCCTTTGGAAAAGAGAAGAGGCAGACTGCTGAAAGCAACTAGCTGTGATAAAACAGGGTAATTACTTGTCCTTCAAAGAAAATTGGCCACATAATATGCATTATGCTTCTGCCAGTGGCAACATTAATGGAGCCATTCATAAAAAAAGACCAACTAGTGTTCAGTAAGATGTTTGGTAATAGGCAATATATGTTTCAAGAAAAGGATAAAAAGAGGTACACCAGGTATGAAGTGTGCTATGAAAGCAGTTTGATAGATTATATGTTGGTGTATAAAAGGTTGAAGGGTGGACTTAAGGATGTGTTATCAGAGGAGCGACTAACAAGCCCAGTTATTGTATTTTTGTGGTAACTGAAGCTTAGGTAGGTGTAATGCAAGGAGAATAGTATTTGTGTAAAAATGAAGTGAAAGTTAATAAAACTGTGTTGAGAGGTATAAACAATTGTTGGAGGAAGAGTTTTGCATGTTAAAATATTAGGCAAGTTGAGTATATAGAGACAACATGTTAACAATTAAGAATTGCAAATTTTGCTGATATGAGACAGTTTTGGAGGGAGAGTTAAGAAATAAGGGAGCTTGGTGAGAAATGTACTTGTCAGTTGAAAGTGGCGAGGATTGGATGAGTAGATAAGTATTGGACAGAATATTTTGAGTTTAAACATTTAAAGATACTTCATGCATGGTACATCTAAGAATACAGTTTAAGGGAAAGAAAAAACCAAAAGTGACTAGAGGAAGCATTAAGTTAGTAGCAGGTTCCGAGGGAAGAGCAGCAGTTCACATGGATTGGATGAAAACAGATGCTGAAAGCTGGTTAGGATATAATTTCTGAATGACGAGTACATATGTTTAATGGATGAAAGAGGAAAAGATACTTAGAAATGGGCAAAGAGTATTCCTGGTTCTTTTAAGTTATGGTAGAATTGTCAAAAGTTTTGCTATATGTAGATACTTTCGTCAGTCCTGTACCCAGACAGAGTTGAGTTTGTTGTTAGGTAAGACACATATGCAACAGTTAGGTATCTATATTTCGAAACATTTCGCCTACACAGTAGGCTTCTTCAGTCGAGTACAGAAAAGTTGATAGAAGCAGAAGAGACTTGAAGACGATGTATTCAGTCTATCACCCTTAAAGTTTTGAGGTGGTCAGTCCCTCAGTCTGGAGAAGAGCATTGTTCCATAGAACAATGCTCTTCTCCAGACTGAGGGACTGACCACCTCAAAACTTTAAGGGTGATGGACTGATTACATCGTCTTCAGTCTCTTCTGCATTCTATCAACTTTTCTGTACTCGACTGAAGAAGCCTACTGTGTAGGCGAAACATTTCGAAATATAGATACCTAACTGTTGCATATGTGTCTTACCTAACAACCTGTCGGTATTTTATACCATTTTAATGTTCAGAGTTGAGTTTACGTCAACAGTGTAGTTAGTAGGTAACTTCTTGACTGTGCCAAAAAAAAATTTGCCTAGCCCCATATGTCATAATTACTGTACTGTAGCTTAGCCATTTAGCAAAATTTTTTCCTAAGTTGCCCATTAATTGTCACTTTTGCATCATCGCTGTTTATTTAAGCTTTGCAAATGGTCCCAAATTCATTGCTTCAGTTGCTTTAGAGAAAAAAAAAACCTTCCTGTCCATGCTGTGTACCATAGAAGCATGAAGTTTTTTTTTATGAGAAACTAGGCTTTTCTATTTTTAATCCATCTCTGCTAAACTGGCAGTTTGCCAACTAATCCTGTAAAATTAGATTTTCCAACCTAGGAGACCTAGTCTGAGTCCAGGCACTGCAGATGATATTCTTCAGAACCAAGAACAGATAATGTGTGTGCTTGTATGAGCTGTTTAATTTCAGTTTTTATTACCCATCCCTGTTCATAACCATACTGAGGTGCTGTCCTCAAAAACCCCACCTTACCCTTCAGTTTGACTGAAGCCACAAATCCATTAAGTCTTTATATTTTCGCATTGATGGATATTTGAGCTTTTTGAAAAAAAAGCAGCAACATTGTGCAGTATTACTGTGAAGGAAAAGAGGCCTTTTGGGGTTGGATTGGTGTACTAAGATACCAAGACTTACCAGAGTGAAAATATTATGCTTGAATAAATAATGAAAAAATTGTAATTTGGAAAAAAAATGTTCATCCTAACTCTGTTTCCTGTTTATACATATAATATTAATCAGTGCAATTTTTTTTCAGTTCTCTGGTGTTATACAATTCCATCCTAACCCCCCCTCACCACTACTCTCAAACATTTTTGATTCTTCATTGGCATTGAAGCCATATATGCCCAATAAATTGAAACACAAGTGACCCTGCTTTACAAATGCCAACCACCTGATTGGTCTCTCTCTATTTTGCTTAACAATTTATTTCCCTTTGACAACCATTGTTTATATCTACTGAGAAGGCATAACATAACCAAATGTCTGTTAAAAAATTATGAAGTTCCAGCAGTGAACCAGTCAGATGGTGAAAAATGATCCACAACATGGGAGGTAATATGGCATATTGTCTTGTACAAAGGGGATGTTCCAAAAGATGTAACTTCTGGTATTGCCTGTATTAAGACAGGAGTATCAGATTTGTAGATTGGTGTCCCACAGGTTTCAAGGTTGGAGTTAACTACCAACAACTGTACCTGGAGCTGATTCAGCAAAGTGTCCTGTTCTGTGTGCATGTTGAACAATACTAACTGCTCTATTGCTGAGGCATTGGCTTGCCTTGACCACAAGTTTGCCCACTGGTATGTGGGTGATGGCCTGAAGAAGAGATCATCACAGAAGCCCAAGAGGACTTAGCTGCTCTTGACAAAAGTTATGAAAGAGATTGCCATGGACTCCACTGAATGTGTAAATGAAAAGCTGATGAGTATTTAATGTGTATTATCTCATAAACTGGTGTTAATTATTTCAGAAGCTTTGGCATTGCTATCTCATGATTTTTATTCCCAAAAATGATAATGTTAAAATAATTATATTTATTATGCAAATAATATCATAGCTGTAAGGATGGGTAAAATCATACCCTATAACAGTATTAGATGCATAGCCCATTGTTATGTATTGATCATACAGTAGTTGTGTTATTACTAACTTAGAACTGTAGATTGATGATTACTAACATTTTCAATTTTTAAGTTTTGTAATTTGCCTTTTCTTCCTGAAAATTCTTGTTGCTTTAATAACTTTGAATTGCAGAGAACATGTAATTTTGTGAAATTAAATATTAATTAAATTTAAATGCTACTAATTTTTTTTAATATCCATTTACTGTATATTTGTTTTTTCTGTTCTTACATTTCTTATACGTGTAATTATATACAGGCATCCCCATTTAACAAAGTCCGTGCTTTCCTGGGAAATAATTTAATGGAATACTGTATTTGCCAATTGAAACTATCCCATAGTCTAATATTAGCAAGAACAAAATTTTGTGGAGTGCACGAGTTTGTTGTGATCATGATCTCTTAATTGTACAAGAGTTTAACATTTGCAGAATTGTATTGGAATTTTGTACTCTTTTAAAGTTACTCAAATTATGATTCAGAATGTGTGGATGCAAGGATTAGGACTGCTATTGCTAGGGTATTGACAAAAATGTAATTGATCGTAATGGAAATTGTTTCCCATTACTATGAATTAATCAATTTTTCGTAAGCTTCAGGTATTATGTACAGTAAAATACTTTCAAACGGTGTTCAGATGGGTTGGCTAATAACCTGTGTCCTTATTACAACATAAAAGATAAAATTCACTTATGAGATGGGAGGAGAATTGTTTACAGCCTTTGTGACATAAGGTATATAGTTCCATCAAGGTTTGGTAAATGGTAAGGGAGATTTGTTATAAGGAAGACATTAACTGAATATGGTACACAGTAGAAGCAGCTAGAACAAGATAATTTTTACTTTCCAGCTTTGGTGCTCTTCTAAGAAGTGTTGGCTGAAGAGAAATTTAAAACAGGATTATTATTATTATATGGAGTAGAAATATGCAAAGAAAAGTCATATATCTACAAGCAAGGAGAAAAATTTAAGAACTTTAGTCAGTGTATGCCTCCATGGACTTGGGTGTCAGCTGCTCGATTAAGTTGAACTCCACAGCAAAGTTTAGGATAGTGGTAGCATTTTTTAAGTTTTATCTTGGCTTTGCTAAACCAAATAATATCATAATGTGGAGTGTAATGCAAATTGTTCATAAATGGTCCTTTGTTAACTGGGACTGTCTTTATATATAATTTCATTTTTAATTGCTATTTTGTTAGTGTAGTGAATAATGATGAAGCAGATTAGGTCTTCAAAAGAATTTTTACTTTGAATTTGCTAGTTAACATGCTGTAATATTAACCGAAGAATGACTTTTTTTTTTTTCTTTCTTTTTTCCAGTCTTCCTCCTCCGTTGTGGAGCCGTACAATTCCATCTTAACAACACACACGACTCTGGAACATTCGGACTGCTGTTTCATGGTTGACAATGAAGCCATATTCGATATATGCAAAAAGAATTTAGACATAGAGCGCCCCACCTTCACAAATCTCAATCGACTGATTGGTCAAGTTGTGTCTTCTATTACAGCGTCCCTGAGATTTGATGGGGCTTTAAATGTTGATTTGACTGAATTCCAGACAAACTTGGTACCTTACCCAAGAATCCATTTTCCTTTGACAACCTATGCTCCTATTATTTCTGCCGAGAAGGCATACCATGAACAAATGTCTGTAGCAGAAATTACAAGCTCCTGTTTTGAACCCGTCAATCAGATGGTGAAATGTGATCCACGCCATGGGAAGTATATGGCATGTTGTCTTTTGTACAGAGGTGACGTTGTGCCAAAAGATGTAACTTCTGCTATTGCCTGTATTAAGACAAAGAGGAGCATACAATTTGTGGATTGGTGTCCCACAGGTTTTAAAGTGGGGATTAATTATCAGCCTCCAACAGCTGTACCTGGTGGAGATTCGGCCAAAGTGGCCCGTGCTGTGTGCATGTTGTCAAATACCACTGCAATTGCAGAGGCATGGGCTCGCCTTGACCATAAGTTTGATTTAATGTATGCCAAACGTGCATTTGTACACTGGTATGTGGGGGAGGGCATGGAAGAAGGAGAGTTCACAGAAGCCCGTGAAGACCTGGGTGCTCTTGAAAAGGATTATGAAGAAGTTGGAATGGACACGGCTGAGGGTGAAAACGAAGAAGAAACTGATGAATATTAATATACTTGTCAAATGATGTTTTTCAGAAATTTTACAAATAGTACTGCATAATGATATATTTAGCAGTATCACTGTGATATTTTAGACACTTATTTGTTAAAAAATTGTTTCATGTTTATCAGGAACTTTGTAGAGTATGTTTAACAGCACAGTGGATCCTAGACTACCTTGCACATGCCTGTGTGTTGCTATGTTCCGATTGACGAGTTTGACTGATTTCCAAAGTACATGTACATGTATTTCCCTTCCACACCCAAAACTACCCATGGACACTTGTCTCAAATAACTGACAGTAATCAGTTTTAATGAGTAATTTGTGTTAAATGTTAATATTGAAAACCAGCAAATCGTTTTCATACCGTTTGAGACTGGCTGAAAATGCTACTTGGTACCACACGTGGAGGGAAGGGGGTGGTTGTGGAGGGTGACTGCATCTGGAGGAGGTACTAACATTTCACCAGTGGCACTAAACCCATGATAATAGCCTTATCTAGCAACACTGACATAAACACTGAAGGGAAGGACCATTCAGCCTGATAATCTTTTCAATTTACCTATTCATATTACTGTACGTAATTTCCATGCCATGTCAGTGCTACTAAATTACCCTCGGTATTGTTTTTTGATTGTAGAAATACTATAATTAATTTGTTTTAAGTATTTTTTAAAGTAATGTAGTTTTAGAACATATCCAAATTTTTAGCATTAACCAATCACATATTACACATCCTAATCTCAGTTGTTTTCCAAGCTAATTTTTTGCCAAATGAGAAATTGTAACAGAAAAAAATTGCACTGTTCAGTTAAGTAGGTATAAAATTTCTTCCTTTCTTTGATTTCTTAAGTTATTCATTTGTAAATTTTTTAATGTATTTCCATGCAGAAGTAATTGACCTACAAAATGTTTTTAAATTTCTAAATATTGTTAAACATCATCTGCACTTGTATGAGCTACATTGGCTCCCTATCAAGGCAAGAATTGAATTTAAGCTTTAGTTTATCAACATTTGAATCTATTAAGTAGCTTGCTCATATGCTTGTAGATTTTGTCAGGCCCAGGAATGTTTTCTCCGAATTTCCAGGAACCCTTTTAGACAGATTGAGCCTAATGCTGTTGGAGAAATCATCACAGAAAAAGCCTTTTCATATGTTGCTCCTATATTGAAACAACAGGTTGCCAGTGTCTGTTAAGTCAGAGTCTGATCATGCTTTTGGGTCTCAGTTGGAAAGCATATCTTTTTTTAGAGATGATGATCATACTGTCACTCTTGAATATGAACTTTAATACAGTGGTATTTTTCATCATTGATGTTGCATTTATGGCATTGTGTGCTAGTGCTTTTGAACTTCTTGAAAGAACAGGCACTCGAGGAAAAAAAATCCCAATTATCATAAAGTACAGTGTGTGTGTGTGTGTGTGCGCGTGCACGTGCGCGCATGTGCGTGCATGCACACGTGAGTGCGTGTATGTGCATGTTTTAATGTTGTACTAGTGTTATTGTAAAAACAATAACTACATCAGTCTCCCACTAAGGTAGACAAAATGTGAAATGCATTCACCATCATTGTCAGTTCTCTTGCCAGGAGGTTGCAGAAATTGCAGTTCAGACGACCAACGAAATGGCAACATCTCTCTACCCCCTTCTCTTCGGATACAGTACTTGTAAATGCAATATAGAATTTAGCTAATGAAAATGATTGATTTGTAATTAAAATTTAAAATGAAATATTTTTCAAATGGTGTGTTTTCATAACCATTAATTTCATCAAGGGAGTAATGCACACCTCTTAATGACAACCACAATTATACTTCTGTGAAGATACTTGTAGCCTCAAATCTGATGCATATATTAACACCAAGTTTTTTTTTTTTATCTTATTTAAACACGCCATTTTGAGCATACTGTTATAGACCGTTTAGAAGTTTGGCCAAATGATTAAGCATAACGAATGCAACACTGAATTTGTTGTATACTGTATGATGCATACGGGTTATAGTGCTGGCTGTGTAACTATGAATTTATGGTTAGCAAAAATATACATTATAGTAAAATTAAGGCAATAAGCACAAGGTTAGATTAAGTGATTACAGTAGGTCTCTGCCCCAGAATTGTGGTAGGGATACATTAGATTTTTGATCAGTAAAGTGGCAGATAATCTAGGGATTCCACCATAAAGATATTCTTCAACTGTTAAGTTCATAATTTTCAAGATCATTATATTTTTTCTAAACATTCCTGTTGCTTTGAATGAATTTGAAAATCATTGAAGAATCATAATTTTGTGAAATAAAATTGAATGCTACAGAGATTTTTAATATCCATTTATATTAGTCATGAACACTTCAGCTTGTTTATGCTGTATAGTCCTTGTGGCTTAGCACTTCTTTTTGATTATAATAATAATAATCAGCTTGTTTACACAACAAATATTGGCATTATTTTTTTTTTAACTATATGACCCTTGATAAATGAATACTGATAAAAGAAATTTGAGCTATTTGTTTTTCCTTCGATCGAATGTGATCACATACCTTTCAACAGGCATTATGTAACCTCTGTGGTTTAGCACTGTATCATTAATACAAGTACATATTTGTACCCTCAATCTCTTGCCCAGTGGCTAAGGCTCCCGCTTCCACACTCGGAGGCCCATGTTTGATTCCCGGCGGGTGGAAACATTTCGACACGTTTTTTTTACACCTGTTGTCCTGTTCACCTAACAGCAAGTAGGTACCTGGGTGTTAGTTGACTGGTGTGGGTTGCATCCTGGGAGACGAGATTGAGAACCCCCAATGGAAATAAGTTAGTCCTCGATGACGCACTGACTTTCTTGGGTTATCCTGGGTGGCTAACCCTCCGGGGTTAAAAATCTTATCTTACCCTCTACCCCTGCACTATCCACTGCCCTGCTGCACTCCATGACCTAATAATCATCCCCCTCCCACTTGCTACCCATTACTCTTGCATCCTTCCCTGCCCAGCGGCACTGTATGACCCTTGTAGGTTTAGCACTTTTATTATAATGCAAGTAGTATTTGTAAAATGGACCGAGCGCTTCCCCATGGGAAGAAGTGGGCAATTTGTCCTCTTAAAGCATTAATCTGATAAGGTTTTCTACATTAACCTCCCTCCTTGATGCTGGTGAGGGACTTTTTGTGCAGGAAGTTGAACCTATCTTTACTTTCTTGAATCAAACCTGATTACTTACTGTTTCACTCATGTCCTGTACAACACCTACCGTTTAATGCTTTCCTCTATTATAATCTAGAATGAGGCTTGGATGCATATTGCTCACCCATACCCTCAAAGGTGGGTTCTTTGATGTCAGTGAGGAGGCAATTAATCCAAGGACTTTGACCTGCCTTCCCCTTCAATTGACCCTGAATGCCTTCCATTTTCCCCAAGCAATGTGACTACAGTCTACAAGTTTAGCAAAACCCCAATGAATATAAAACCTCTCCCATTGCAACCTGTTGCAGGTACTTTACTGGGCCTCAAGGAGTTCCTTCATGCTGCTGGGGACTCTTCATCTAGGGAATCGATCTGTGCACCAATTCCCTGAATTAAGCCTGAAAGTCTCCCATCTCTCCCCACAGGCACTGTATAATCCATAATCCGTATGGGTTTAGTGCTTCATGATAATTCAGGTACTCTTACCCCTAATCTTCACTACCTTATATCAGACCAGATGCCTCCTGTTTCCCAGGAGGCAGTCTCCCAAATTACTGAGTGTGGTTCCACACAGCACGGTTGACAGTTAATGGCGTCCTCAAACCATACCACGGGTGGGAATAGAACCTGCGATCAGTCTCAAAATTCCAGACCGTCGCGTTAGCCACTGGACCAGCTAGCCACAATAAGATTCGTCCAGTGGCTAACGCGGTCTGGAGTTTTGAGACCTCCTGATTGCGGGTTCTATCCCCACCCGTGGTATGGTTTGTTTGCAATCGTGTCATTACGATTTTGTGTGTCATGTTAGCGTCCTCACTGCACACTGAGGGGTCTACGTGACCCTAGTGGGTTTAGCGCTTAGCTTTTTATAATAATGAGGGTCTACAATTCACTCCTTGGCATGGATATAGAGAATATGCTTCATTACACCTGCTACCTCTCTTCACTTAGCAGTGAGTAAGTACTGAAGTGTTAGTAGATTTGTGGGTTGCATCCTGGGGATTAAGATTTAAGAAGCCTAAGGAAATAATTATTCCTAACGATGTGCTAACTTTTTTGAGTTATCCTGGTGGCTAACCCTCTGGGTTAAACCATAAAATCTTCTCTTTTCTAACCTTTCATAATACCACTATCGGTTTAGCACTTATAATGCTGAACTTTGATCATGATTGATGGACTGAACACAGCACTTCAAGGCTAAGGGAATGATTACCTCAAACTACATCCCTTCCACCATTCCTCTCTACCGTACTGAGTAAGCTACTTATTGGCAAAAAGCTTCCACATTTAAGATTCCCAAGTGTCTCAGTCATCAACCTGTCGGCTCTCTGGATCATTTATCTAGACTATTAAATGCGTTTCACCTACAAGAGGCTTTATTCAGGAATTAGGGAAGCCTCTTCTAGTCGAAACGTCATATTGACTGAAGGGTTTGCTTTTGCTGTCTGGTATATAACTTTTCCTAACATTTATGAATACACCACACCTCATTGTTGTGAAATTATGGACACTACAGTGCACATCCTATAAATAACTCTCCAATATATCAGCTGATGTAATGGTTTGTCTCCCATTATCTCCCACCAGTTTCACGTGTAACCAAATATTTATAATGAAACAAAAAAGTTGCTTACAAATGAAACCTCACATTACACTGGTCAACAACCAAAATGCTTCCGAGACCAGAGTAGCAATTTCCAACTAATTTTAGGTCACTGATAATGAATATCATGGTTAAAATTGTTAGCTTTACTTTTCAATATACACCTACGTGTCACAACAAGTTCCAACATGCTTGAGGCAGTGTGTTTCTTACCAGTCACTGTCATAAGAACATAAGAACGAAGGAACACTGCAGAAGGCCTACTGGCCCATGCGAGGCAGGTCCAAGTCCCTACCGGCTTAAGCCAATGCACCCAACCTAGTCAGGTCAGGTCACATTGACTCAAGGGAGGAACACGGCAACCGACCCGTTAGCACAAGCTATCAGGTCTAACTCACACCCACCCACATCTACTCATGTATTTATCCAACCTATTTTTAAAGCTACACAACGTTCTGGCCTCTATAACGGTACTTGGGAGTTTGTTCCACTCATCCACAACTCTATTACCAAACCAGTACTTCCTATATCCCTCCTGAATCTGAATTTTTCCAACTTAAAACCATTGCTGCGAGTCCTGTCTAGGCTAGATATTATCAGCACACTATTTACATCCCCTTTATTATTCCTGTCTTCCACTTATAAACCTCAATCATATCCCCCCTAATTCTACGTCTTTCTAGAGAGTGCAGTTTCAGGCCCTTAGTCTATCCTCATAGGGAAGGTTTCTGA